CAAAATCTGATGTTTGTTGTGAACATTAACTGAAGCTCCTGATCTGTAGCTGCAGGATTTTATACATGATTGGCTGATTGGATAATTGCACGCATATGTGTATATATGTGTAGGCGTCCACTTAATAATTTAAACAGTTCAGATGGAATGATCAGGGTTTCTAATAGAGGAGGAGACGGTTGGAAAAAGATAAAAGATGCAGGAAAGTGAAGAGAGAGGAAATGAAGAAATGAAAAAAAGAGAGTGACTGAGATGGTGAAATACCAGAGAGAGAGAGAGAGACAGAAAAAATGTGGTACAGAGGAGGGGAATTGCGACTAAGGAGGAATTAGAGGAGAGAAAGAATGAGGAGCACTAAGGAGCGAATGTACTGTGTATGGCACACACTCAGATCCAAGCATCCCTCCTTTCATTTTGCAGTAATGCAGACCTCTACTCGTTGTCATTTTCCTATTTTTCCATCCTTTCTTCTTCTATTTGATTTCCTTTAACGAATCAGCTGGTTAAATAATGACTGTTGTCTGTCAGAAGAAAGCATCTTGGTTGTTGCGACACCTTTCACAGCTCGTTTTCAGGATCATAGGAAACATCTTATAACCAGCACATTACAGTAAGTCAGTGTTAAAAAAGCACATAGAAATATTACATGTTTTTGTTGTTTTATACTTAGACACTAATAGGCCTGCAGTGTATAGTTGTTTTATTCCACAATATATATTTTTTTAAATATTATTTTGATTCCTTAAGGGACATAAGAAGAAAAATTAGAGATCCACAAGGTGGCTTATTTTTTAATTTGCATCAGCTTTACCTCGGGGCCCTACACTACCTGCAACGGCAACAGCATACCTTCCCATTCATCAAGTTTTCATTCCGCTTTTAGTTGCATAAATACATTCGCTTGACAGATGACTTTACTAATTGCCTTTTCAAACTGCAGTAATCTCTCGGCGCAGCGAGCGAAAATTAAAAATGCAGCGCCCTGAGTATTGTTTTTTTTCATGTCTGAGCCTGCATTTATCCACCTGAAATTAATTCTCTAATTTGTTTGTAAGATAAACAGGGAATACTTAGCTTCCCAATCCACTTAAAGCATCTTCTCCACTGCTTTACATATCCGCTCTGAAATGCTGATTTCTCCCTGAAGACTCCACCCAGCAACGCTGGCGAGTCATTAACTGTGGGATGAAGAGCGAGCCGGTGCTTTTCTGAAGGGCGCTGCAAAGTCTTTTCAAAGTGTCACCTTAAAAAAAAAAGAAAAAAAAGTTAATACAGTGAGTGTTTGCCTGCTTTGACTAAATAAAAGCAATGTTCAAGGGAGTTTGGTGTTAGATGCTGAGAGTTCACACCTGAGCTGCAGTGTGATTCCTTGCGTGTGTGTGTGCGTGCGTGTGTGTGTGTGTGCTGCTAACACCCCTGATCCATACGGAGGTGGGTGATGACATCCTTGTCCAAACACGCGTGGCATCGAGACAGCACACACGACACTGTAAGGGCCACTTTGCACATTTGCACATTTGCACTCAAGCGCTCCTGCAAATGACTTTTCAATCGTTTGGAAACTTTGAATAAAGTCATTCTTGGTTCTGACCTTTGAATGACTATGCAGCTGCGACAGCTGTGCAATTTCACCACATTAAGGACATTCTGCGGCGGCCTGTCTTTGTTCCAGGGTCAGCGGTCACACTTTATCAAGTCGACCTAGCAATATTTGCAGATTTCCTGTGCTTCCATAAAAGTACAAATGCCTTTTTTTTGTTTGATTCATGAACAGAGCTTTTCATTCAGTGTGAAAAGTGAATTGTATTCTAATCGATATCCACATTTTTACTGAGCTATCATTGGAAAATACAACATGTTGAGAGGAGAACTTCAGCTAAAAATCACTGTGGCACAATTACAAAGCAGTTATTGCAGTGGCTCTTGTATTTCTGGGTCAGTTATATTATTTTGTTATGTATAATTCATATACAGATGAATGGATAAATGCACTGGCAATAGCACACAAGTGAGACTTCATTCTCTACTAAAGGAAACATAAATATTTTTCATCCTCAAGCACAGCTACAAGACAGATTCTGTTTAGCTTCAGGGCTGCAATTTCTCTAATAATCACAGTAATATAAGATTTTTTGTTTTTGTTCTTTAATAGAGATCAAAGATGGTTGTAACATTTCTGTCTGTATCTTGGAGCTCTTTTAAGCCAGTGTGTGTTTAAAATGTAATACAGGCTAGTTACATGTGTCTGCTATTAAACGGTGTAGCTGTTATCTCTGCAACACAAACAGAAAATACATTACCTCTGTACGGTCGAGTCGGTCTCAAAAACAAGTGAAATATGATTTAAGTTTGAAGAGTTTAACTACAGAGCAGACAACAAAAATACATCAAGTAAAAAAAAAACTTTAAATTATTCTTTTCCTTCTCAAACAGTCTGCGTCTGCCACAGGGTGCCACCTCCTCACATAAGGACTAAATTGAGCGTGTATAGAGGGAATCAGGCGATTCGTGACTTGTTCCTGATTTGAGAAAATTGGAAGTGTTACAACTGACCCGTGTTACAACCATCCCCAGTCTCCCCTATAAACAGTTTGAGAGAGTTTTTTTTTTTTTTTTTTGAGCTTTCACTGACATCGTCCGATCTTAGTCGGATAGATTCAGTGTCGCTTTTTGTTCTTTTCAAGGGGATTGTTGACACAGAAAAACAGGTCTCTGAAAGTTCATTTTTTACATTGTGCTAACATCAATAGGAAAAAAGCAGACTGCCTGCCTGATGATGATCAATAATAATAATAATGATAATAATAATGATAATGATAATGATAATAATGACACTGTTTTCAGTCCAAAAACCTGTAAAATGTGTGATTTTGACAAAACAATCCCAAATAACCTACAACACATCTTTGAATGGTCATGGGTCGAGCTCAGAGCCTCCTCTCTTCTGATTGGCTCACCGACCTGCTGTTACTAGAGCTCCAGAGAGAAGCCTGAGAGAGGAGATGTAAAACTACACTGAGATGGTTTTTGGTTCTTAAAACCACAAATATATCTTCTCATGGATCAACACATGAGAAGAGTTAAATATGGGACTTTCAGCATATAAACAATATATTTTTTTCTCCCCATAGATCAAAATTAAGAATCGGAATTATCATCTTTATAATTTTATAATAGAATATATCAGAATAAAATGATCAGTCCTCCTGTGCCTGTAACAGTGACAGACAAGAAACCCTGTTGCTCCTGCAGTTTCCAGTGTTATACAGTTTATTCTCAGTTCATTCTGTGTCAAGGTGAATGTCGTCTCATATCGCTGCTGAAGAGCGAGGTTGGCTGAATTTCATTTGACCATCATTCATTTGCATAAAAACAAGTGATCACACCAATGAGAGAGCTAGTTTGCATGCAGGTGCATGTATGGACAACCACTGACAGTTCACCTGGCAGATACTAATGAGCAAGCGACCACGGTTCATGACTGATGTGCAGCTCACGGCAGCGTCCTGCATATTACTGGAAGCGAAGAATTTAAGTTACCTCTGCTCCAGTCACACAGCTGAGTAGATTTACTGCAGTTCAAGCTCGTTATAAAGGCATTGTGGGAAATGTAGGAGGAGTTTGAGAGGCAGTATGTGCAGAATAAAAGCTGATTATAACACAACACATAAGAAAACAAGTTTGCTGGGAGGATATATAGTTTTTTTGAGTAAGGGTCTGAATACAGTAGCTGCAGTATCTAATAGCTGTGTTGGTGGCTGTAAAGATAATGCTATGTTTTTTTTGACGTTTATATAATAAAGTCAAAGGGACATCAGTTTTTTTTTCCTGCCAATTTAAAATTTGAATGGTTTGGACAGTATTTAAATTACATTTAACTCTGAGGTTACTACAGAAAGTACTTGGAAAATTCAAGTTGACTTGCCATTTAAGTTGCACTAATGGAACAGTTATTGTGAAAGAAATTAGATTATTAACAGAATAAAGTACAGAATAAAATCAAGAAAAAGCCAGGCAATAAGATCAGAATAAAAGAGTTGAGGCAGAACATCCACACAACAGACAGCACAAATCTACAAACAGTCAAAGGCACAGACTGAAAACCACATTAAGTGGTTCCAAATGTTAAAGAATAAAACATGTGATTGTCCTTTCCTCAGGGAATCAAATTTCCTGATTTGACCCTCATCCATAAGAACCTTTATGGTCACATACACTTGTCCTTACAGGTAATATGGCATTCCCACCCACACAAACATATCTCACACACACACACACACACACACACACACAGACAGAGATAGAGCTTTGCAGTAAATCAAATTACCACAAAAGCAATTGTCACACAGGCAGAATGTGGCCTCTGGGGCTCCTGAGGAGCTGGGGGAACAGCGCCAACCCTGATTTGCAGGATTTTACACAAATTTGTTATTTGGCTAACAGAGACGCTAACACAGATACTATTAAACTGCTCTGGATTTTCTTTCTTTCTTTCTTTTTTTTTTTTTCACCCAAAATGGCCTACAATTCACTTTCGCATAAATATGAACCGAAAGCAGTTCCCTCATCAGTAGAATATGATTTTCCTGGCATCAGAATTCCTTTGGAGGAACAAAAGCAACGTCCCTCTGATTCCTGCCTTCAGTTAATGCTCATGGTTTCATTACAGTAATTGCACGTGTCTGTGACATGCAGAGAATACCTTTCATGTGCACATTCAAAGCAGACATGAAAACAATCACTCCGCTGTGAGTGATGTTAACTTGATAAATACCGCCTTATGCTGCCTTCGTAATTCTGTGCTGTAATCACAATGTGTGGACAGCGGCGTCTATCAACGACAGTAAAACTATGAATTTAAGAAAATTGTTTCAACCTATTATCACTGTCTCTTTTGATTAAAACCCAATGTTTCTGTGTTTTGCTTCTTCAGGCCAGTGGGAGGTGACTGTCAGAAGAAATGCCGGTCCCAGGTGCCCTAGTACATCACCACCGGGACCATGGCAACTCCTTGGCCAATGAGAAAAGAGAGGTGCTCCCATGGCTCCACCTGCCTTGCTAGATGGTCCGCATCCTCCTTGATGCTCCTATGGTTGCCGTGGGTGTTGCTATGGCAGCCGTGGCCGACCCGAGCTGAGCAAGTCGGCGGCGGTGGACATGGTGGGAAGGCGCTCCACGGTTCCCTAACGTTTCCCTCGTCCTCGTCATCTTCCTCCTCCTCGTCCTCGTCTTCCTCGTCCCCCTCCGGCTCCTCGTCGTGGGGCTTCAGCACGAGGCAGAGTGGGGGACAGCTGGACTGGCTGCTGTCGGAGAAGGGACCTTTCCACAGATGTCCGGAGTACACCGAGTTCAGAGAGAGGTTCCAGCAGGGATTTTCTACCAGATACAAGATTTACAGGTGAGAGACATCTACACTCTGCTTTGGCTCACCAAAAACAAACTGAACTCAACAGTTTACATTAAGATTTCTGATTTATGACACTTGAGAGGTGAGATTATGTTGGACCAACTAAGGAACATAATGTAAAGTGAATTAGTTTTTCATCTACTTTTGAAAGTATAATTGATTACCGTGAACTAATTAATTGCATAAACACAAGATTTTAAGTTGATTACACATAAAATTGAACTTGTTTTGATTATTTATTTCTTTGATTAGTTCTTTACTCAAGTCAGAAGAACTTATGTTTAGAAGTTCTGAAGTGGTCTGAAAATTAAAACTAGACATTTTATGTTAAATTAACTTGAATTATAATAATTAATAAAACTTTATATTTACTTATATATTAATGAAAAAAGTTGCTTCAAGTATTAAAAAAAACATCACCAAATAAAATATATGAAATTCATATTTCCACATTGAACTTGAAATTAATAAAACTTTAAATGTACTTATATAAAATTGATTCCCAGGGACTAGGGGTGCAAAGTAGCATTTTTGCTACAATCTAGCTTGTTTACATCTTGTATTTTATATCAGTGTTCATTAACGTACATCGTCCCTATCAAATAAACAAATTACGATAAATTGCTGCATAATGTTTTATATTGTACCAACACAATGTTTTTATGTTGACAACCTGAAAAAGTCGATGCATTAGTTTTACCATTAGTTTTTTTCCCTGCAACTTTCTCTCTTTACACTTTGAACTTCCAAACTTTAACAAATCTGATGATGCTGAATCTTTATAAAATACTGACGCTTAGTGTTTTGTACTTTCTTTAATCAAGTTACAGCAACAGCCTTTAAAATATTTTAAAAGTACATCAAGCAGGCCTACATGCTGGTCCGCTGGGATACTGTAGCTTTTGCTCAGAGCATATACAGTATTATGCCCATCAGCAAAACACAGCACCCTGGGACATGGATTGTTTCCAGGACTGTGGATCACTCAACCTCAGTGGTTGCACTCTTTGTGTCAGTTAGGCCAGTGATGGCATGTTTCATCATTTTCAAGGACCTCCCCTCAAACTCCTTTATCACTGTGTGGAACACGTTTAGATATAGGTTAAAGTGTGAAAGGATAGACAAACAAGCTGCTTAAATACCCACGAGAATAAATAATTGTTATAATTCCACAAAAGATAATTCAGTTAATTAATGTAACTCATGAAGTATGTCCATAAAGTGCCAGAGAGCAGCTCGTTTCTAGTTGTAGTGTCATACAATCTATTCTTTCATTCATCCATCCATCCATCCATCCATCCATCCGTGCGTGTCGTATTCTTGCTCATATCTTTTATTTTGTAAAAACAAAAGCCCCTATTGACATATCTGACTGTTAGATGATGACCAGCCAGACACTGACATCAAGTATTAAAAAAATCTATCACCAAATAAAATATATGAAATTAATATTTCCACACTGAATTAATTTTTAATGATGCAGCACTAACTGTTGAACCAGCAGCTTGAACCAGGAAGCTGTGTGTATGAGAGCATGTAATGAAAAGATGTTCAGTATCGCTTTTTACTCATAACGCAGCTCGTTGTATTAAAATGTGCTGGATGGGTGAAATCTAATTCCATGGCTAACGTTGTGATTTGTCTGTTGTTGGAGCAAAATCTCAGATGGGACAAAAATATCTCCTCTCTCCTCTCTGTCATGATGCACCAAAAGTTTGCTCTGTGTTTATAGGGAGATAAAAGAGGAGGAAGAAGTCAAACTTTTCTTTGCATTAAGTGAATTCCAGTGGCTTTGAGTATGTTCCTTCTTCTTTAACGGCCTAGTGTGGAGATTTAATGAGCTAATTAATTATAAATGAGCTGTTTTGGACAGATTTTTCTGTCTTTACTTTAGGTGTGAATGGATTTTACAAGAAACTTATACTGCCGCTGTGATTCATGTGGTCCTTCCTAATTTAATTAAATAAAACTGTGTTCTGTGAGTTGAACTCTTTAAAGAGCAACTAAACAGGGTTTCAGAGGGAATGGTAGATGCATTGTCTCTGGCAGATTAAAGCCAACCCTTTAAATAACCTCCGTGTAATCTGTGAACAGATGAAAAGAAGAGTTGTTGTTCATTTTGAGTGACAGGCAGAGAACAGAGGGACGTAGCTGTTGTACACTGTGTCACATTTCTCTTCAATCCCTCAAACTTTTTGCTGATTCTGTCTGTTCTGAATCATGAGCTCAGACGGACCAGGGAAATGTGATGCAGGCCTGAACTAGTTAAAGTTTAATATATATAGTATAGTAGATATTCATTATAGTCATAGAAACCTGGCTGTCAGCTCTCATTTCTCAGGTGATCTTATTTAAAGGTTATATAAGTTATAAGATTATATCTGTCTTTACAGCTCATAAATCCAAACTCATAAAACAGACAAAAATCTTTGTTGTTTAAATTTACTGAAAAATCAACTTTGGCATTTAAAGGGGCAAAACAGTCCTTCAATATCTTTATAATCCTGAGAGAAAGGCTTCACGGAGAATGTTATTAAGATAGAGTTATTATAATATATTATTATTATATTATTACTGTTTACATGTTGAGATGTTGTGAGTTGACACGAGTGTTTAAGTTGTTTTTGTGAAGATCTGTGTTAGGCTTGTGCAGATATACCATAATATCGAATATCACAACATTTCCCATCATATGTGATTTTTTTTTTTTTTATACTATTGAATTTAATTACTTTGTCAGTGTTACACAGTCTGTCCCGCTGTAACTTAATATATAATCATGTATAACTATATTCTATATTATATAATTTCATTATTATATTATGAAAAAACAACACTTGAGCTGAGCTGATAAACATAAAATACAATAATACAATTATGTAGTATAAAAAAAGAAGACTTGTACGACAAAATGAACATAATTACATCTGAATGACATCACTGCTATATCAACAGACTTAATTGTCATTTAGTCATTTGTAAATGAACATTAT